TAAGGCGTAAGTGGTTCCTTGGTAGAATAATAGCTAGTCATGTATCTGGTCAGGCGTTCAGACCCCTGCTGACTGATCGATACATCATGCTTAACCAGTAACAAGCCTGGAAGGGAGTGAAAGTAGATACTGAGGCTAACAGTTCGGCTCTGTAAAAAGTATAGGAAATGCCTTTGCTACTAAAAAAACTCAAAACTTAAAGTTTGAAGCCTTATGTTCTATTTGAGATGTATAGGAATAAAAAAAAGAAGTATTAAGGCTGAATCGGTTGATTATCTTCAGCACGTTGCTGGACTACTCAAATATGTATGAGACTACAAATGAACAAAATAATTCATCCCTAGTTTATTGATATTCTAGATCACTTAATATCATAAAATGTAGCCTGCGGAAATATTATTTCTGACATATCATCATCATCATCATCATAAAAATCGAGTGCTACTATTTTTCCCTTTATTTACGAGACTAAATTCGTATCCACTGAGCAAATTCATAATTTTTGATTGACATCGAATAAATGACGTTGAGTTACAGAGAATTGTAGTCATTTATTCTTCAAAATAATTTCAATGTCGTCATAATTACTTCACAAAAAAGAATAATTAGAGCGAATAATTATGGTTTCAACAAATCCTTTTCCAGGCCCTACAATTATCAATCAATTAATTTTAGCCTACAACTGCCAGCAAAGGCGAATTAAAACTATATCAGAAAGTGTATGTTTGTGGTACAAGTACAGGATAGAATAACAGTCATTTGTAATAGTCTATTATCTGAAAACTAGGGAACACTGAACAGCTGTTTTGTCTGATTTTAAGGCGGTCCATCAGTACACGCCTACGAACTCACCAGGCTAACAGACAAAGATGGTTAACCATTTAGTCACTTGGGCTGGAATTTAATGGCCCGTAAATTCTACTTTTGCAAAACGTGTCATACACAGCTACTGTCACTAATGCCATCGATGAGCACCTTCCACATCTTGACATGAATGACCCCACTAAACCTAGCAGCTCATCACAGCTTCAGGACATCGTTCCAGTAGCCATCAGTGAGCTGGAGACTGATATTTCGATGACGGGGACTTCAAAAAGCGGAATGAAAAGGATTGAGGAAATACGACAACAAGGCTTTTATAAGGCTTTAGGTAAACCTACGATAATAAACACAGTAAAAAAGGTCACGGAGTTATAAAAGGTCTAAATTAAACATTTTTCAGTGAAACAAAAGGAAAAAAGAGAGAGAAAACTCCAGTTCACCTCTGTTGGTCATTGCATGCTAAAATGAATACCTGTATAATCGTAGAGCTCAAAGAAGAATTTATTAAAACCATGAGTACTCTCTCTAATTATCCTAGTTCTGCTTAAAATAATTGTAGCGGACTACTTAAAACTTAAGCTATGTATTGCATATAATTTCCCTTATTCAGTTTCTTTAAATCTATTAAAGTATGACCTCCGGTAGTATTTTTTACCCTGTCTAGTATTTAAAATGTTTACAGCCTGCTGATTCATAAGTTTCTGCTAAGCATGAAAAGAAGAATTAACATCGATGGCAGCTTATCCCATTACTTGAGAAAACTACTGTTCCTGAGTGTGTCTTTGAAATACGAAATGTACTCCTCAACTTTTTATAATAGGCATTCAAAAAAATGTCGTATATTTCCCGAAGAAGAAGATGAGATATCGTCATAATGGTTTGGTTTGTGCTTCAGGTCAGACAGCATGGTATCACACGATCTACTGCGAATTAGTCTTTTACTTGAAGACCATGAACGAAGAGAAAGTATGACGCAATAAAGCTGTTACTATTATTAAATTATTATTAAACACTGTGTTCAGATTTTTATTCCTAGACTCGTTTTTTTTAACTGTTATTGTACATATGTGAAAAAATTAATTCTCGTAAGGAATTTTTATAAAAAGAAGATTAACTGACGTCTGATTCGCTTCGTTAGTTTTAAGGGGTAATACACCCGCAGATTTATGGTGAAATCCACTCTCACATCATCGGTGGTTGAGCTGTAGAATTCTAGCCGACATTTATGTCATCCGGCGTCCAATTCTCAGACAACTCAATCCTAACCTAGTAAGCCCAGTAAAGTCGGTGGGTTGTGTGTTAAGCCAGCGACCTCTATCCACTAAGGACAAAACCAGTTCTGAAGCTTCAGTCAGTATTGATATATTTGTAAAACTTGGGCACTGTGGTAGTAAGTAATTCCATATCAGTTTGTTTTTTAGATGTATCATACAGTGATGAAATAGTATTATATACTGGATGACAAGGTTTCGAACAAAATTTATTGTTCATAATCATTTCATCACTTATAATCACACGACTTAGAAACTTCAGTTTTATAGTTTTCTTTGTTCTCTCTTATTTGTCGTCTTTAGGGTAGTAGAATTTTTCAGATGTCCGACTGGACAGGTGTTGAATCATTCCTACTACACGTGTTTGCAGCTGATCCGATAAACAAAGCTTCTGTTATCAATCTCTCCCTCCACCCTGCTGGTACATTAGATTTTTAAACTGTCATCTTATCCCATCTAGCCTTTTGTTATGCTTGTGTGTAATTGCATATATTGAGTGGAACTATCCTGAACTATCCTCTAGATTTCTGATCTTATTTGGGTCAACTAATCTAGATTTTGCTAGGATTTGATGTTCGGCTAGTCTGACTCACTGCACCTGTTCTACTAATTTGACCTATGTATTTGACCTGACAATCATTGCAGGCGGGGTATTAGAAAAGCTAAGTTGTTTTGTTTTAAAGGCTCTACAAGATTGATCCTTCAACCTACAAAGCTTGTTTCTGATTGAGTTTTTGGGTTTGAATGCCATCCACTTTCATTCTTGTCTTGTTAAGAATTCTGCGTAAAGTTTCCGAGGTTCCTTCCTTGTATGGAATTACAACTGTTGATTTAGATTCCTTATTGTTGATGTTGTCATTATCTTGCTCATGTTTGACATGCATGTCGTCATTACTATTATCAATACCATTATTCATTTTATTTTTACATTCCCCTGCATAATTTCTGAATAATTTATCAGAGTAATTATTAAGTTTCGAAGCTTCTCTTATTTATGGTGTGATTATAATTGATATGATTATGAACAATTAATTTTTTTTCGAAAAATTGTCATCCAGTATATAATACTGTTTCATCACTGTGTGTGATACATCTAATAAACAAGCTAATATAGAATTCAATCCGTATGTTCGTTCCACTCGGAACTCAAAAGGAATATAGTAAATAACAAAAACACTGTCACTGATTACATTATTATTAGATAAGTGTCAAATTACAAACAATTATTAAATTTTACACTCAGACTATAACTATTGTTCCGTAAGAGAAAATCAGCGATGAGATATTTTACTAGAAGTTGTAAAGTACGTCCCAAAAATTCATTATCAGATAAATGTTAGATTTAGATTTTAATGTCGAATAAATATCAATTAATGGCTGATCAACTATGATTATTACCAAAACATCTGACAGCAACAAATTTATTTTATCTACCAAGTTTGTTCAAAATTCTTTTGGTGACACACCAAGTCACAGAGGCACTGACTGACTTAATATTAAGGTTGAAAATACGAATCTCGCTAGCCATGCTTCACTTAGTAGATTTCCAAACGGATTTAAAATGAAGGAAAGTCTGTCTTACCTTTCTGAACCTGACTAGTTTTGACATTTTCATCCGTAACGTCTGTTGTCAAAACGATGTTCTCTAGATATGAGTGGAAGAAGGAACTTCCTTCAAAATTCTCCTGCTGATAGTGATTTGTTCTTGCTGTTGCCAGTTGGCGGTTATTTTAATCACCTCTTTCTTCGCAATGTTCACTTGATGTCCTATCTTTACTACATTTCTTCCTCTGACAAACTGTTGGTTTTCGCCAGTATATTTTCCAGTTAGGGAGACATTAAACGTAAGTCTTCCAAGAAGTCGAATTCTTCTAGAGTCTACTTGTCGGCCCATTGTATTCCTGTCTTCTCGCTCCCTAAGAGCTGCCACAATCAGGAATATCATCTTTGACAGTAGACAGAATTGTCTTACGCCTTTCTTCACTCCAAAAGTTTTACTAGGTTTCCCATTTTCATTCACTTGACATGTCAATTGTAGCACTGTACTGAGTAGTGTTCTAGCAGTTTTTAAGTCACTTCGTGGCCAACAGTGTCAAACCCTTTGTCAAAGTCGTGTATCTGAGGTGAAGAGTTGACTGTCATTTTAAACTCTGCTTGATGACGACGCGTGGTGCTATGATTCGAAATGTACATCAATGAAGCGTACATGACGTGCTTTTCCTAAATCCAGCTCGTTCTGGATTAATCAACTATAGATTAGGTGTTTTGTGGTATTTTCCCAATTGAGAATTTTGTGGTGAACCACTCCCTGACTCATAACTTTAAACATAGTCACTAAGAAACTCCCAAGCCTCGTGCCTCGACAGTGCAAAAGTTAATTTCATAGATTCACTTTCAAAGTATGTTGTTCACCGAGAATCGAACCCCGTATCTCGTGCGTGAGTGGATCAAAGGCATTCTACTCCAAAACAACCGAACAGACCATATATCTACAAACTATGTTGTGAATCCTATTTTTTAAATTGAATTCTTCGATTTTCCTGTCGATTGACTGGACCGAAGTGCTCGGTCTCAGGTTGACATGTCGGCTTCTTGTGGACGTTCTTTGACAATGTTTGGGCATGTAATTTGAGGTTAATTGGTGGATGGTGACTAGCAGTGGAATCTAGTGGATAACGCTTTGGCGTTTGAATGCGGAATGCTAGTACACCCAGTTGACGAGTCCCGAATAGGACGAAATGTGCATTGTGTATTCCACTGCTAGTCACCATCCACCAATTAGTCCTAGTTTTTACCCAATATTTCTAAATATTGTGTATGCTCATAAAACATGTAAATCGTAATGTGAAGGTCAAATAGATTCAAATATAGCTCTGATAAAAATCATATGGTAGAAGTTGAACTCACTGTAATTTGTCCAAGAAATATTTACACCAATATTATGAATCTGTGAAGCATATCATTCGTTTAAGAATCTTTGCGTCTTGTTCCATTTGTCAATTTATGTAGAATAATTAATACCTTCACATATCGACCTTCAATTACTCAACAAACATTTGTATTACCAAACAATATCCGTCCATGAATAATTTTTCATTAGAAACATGTACACTACTGTTGAATAATAACGATGATTATTTTTGACTGAAAGAGATACGTAAGTAATAGCTGACCATTTACTTCCCTGATCACATTAATCTCAGACTGTTCATCACACTGTGATGATGACAAATAAAGCATGTGGTCATTTTGATTGGACGATACAATTTTTGGCCATATTGGCCTTAACACTGATTGGATATCATTTTGGCATACAGAAGAAAATAAATATTGGTCAGAATAAAAATGAAGAAGCTAATCAAATTGCGAATAAACTCTTTCATGTGTTTCAAACAACTACTTGATGAAAAAAGTATCGGTGAAGTTGTCTAGTTCAAAAGTGGCCTGCTTAAAAATTTGTGTTACCGAAAGCCTTCATCAATACATTACAATATATTTTCTCTGATTCAATTCGTTTAAATCTAATCAAAAATATAGTCTATAATAGTATTTAGAAAACAGAAAGATTGAGTGAAAAAATATTTACATTTCAATTAGATCCTCATCTCTCTCTGGCTCTACTCTAATATACACGTATAGCATTTTTATTACAATACACAACAGTTTACCAATCAAGTGGCACTGATATGTTTGTTAACAATAATTAGTCAGTGTCAACATGTCAAGGTGCTGGTGATTATTAACGAAGAAAATTAATACACATAATTAAAAGGTACAAATGGTTATAAAATGCAAAATTTTGGAAAAATGAAGAGTAATTAAGGAATAAGTGTGTGCACAGGTTGAATACATAACAGATTGTTAAAGAAAATAAAACGATTTGGACAATGATAATTTGTAACTAAGGATGAAGTGGTCATAAGAATAAAATAATTTGGGCAATTATAATTTTTATAATTTTAAAGGCGTAGGGGGAGGGGGCGAAGTAGTCCGGTTTGTACATTCATATAACGATGGCCAAGGCAAGGAAAGTGGCTGTACAAATTTCTTCTAAGCACACATGTTTGGCTCCTTCAGGTGGATTCCGATTGCTTCAGATGTAGGCATGTGGAAGACGAACTCGTAGAGCAAAATTCAGATTAGTAGGAATGCGATGAATAATTTTGAATGCAGTATTAACGTCAACCTTATGCTCACTATCTACAAGGTGTGCTACAATACAGGTAGCTACGAATAGATCTTGTTTGTCCCTTGCTTAACCATGTTGGATGATGTTCAGAAATACGATGATGAACCTGCCTAATTGTACCCCCGATGTATTGTTGTTAACAAATTGTTATTGTTAACAAACATATCGCCACTTGATTAGTAAATTGTTGTTTATTGTGTATATTAGAGTAGAGCCAGAGAGAGATGAGGATCTAATTGAAAAGTGAATATTTCTTCGCTCAATCTTTCTGTTTTCTAAATGTCTAAATGGGGATTTTTTCTATATAATAATACTCTTTACTCTAGTGAGTATTTAAAAGGTTTACAACCTTCTGACTTGAAAGTTCCTACTAAACCTGAGAAAAAGCATTATCCTAGATGGCAGCTTATTCCATTACATGAGATATCTGTTCCTGGGTTGTCTCCTTGTTTCAAAAAATATACCCCTGAACATTTTTTATTGTCATTCAACCAAATGCCGTAAATTTCTCGAAGGAGACAAAGAACAGATATCATAATAGACTGATTTGCTCTTCAGGTCAGATAGGACTGCATCACACGATTTTCTGTTAGACTATGAAAAACTTCCATCTCTCTCTATTGCATATATTTTCTGTAGTTAAGTTTGTTTTAATCGATTAAAATATGACCCCCTCCAATGGTATTTAAAATGTTCACAAGCTCCTGATTCTCAAGTTCCTATTAAACTTGAAAGTGGTAACGTGTTCCAATACATGAGATAACCATTCTTCAGTTATATGTATCCTTAGGTCTCAAAATGTACTTCTGAACATCTTACGATTGGCTTTCAACTAGGCGTCGTGAACTTCTTGAAGAATACAAAGCAGATATATCATAATGGAGTGATTTATGCTTCAGCTTAGAGAGCATTGTGTCACAGGAAGGATATACTCTCAATTATTATTTTACTTGAAGATCTTGGACGAAGAGAAAATATTATGGGATAAACTCCGCTAAAACTCTTGTGCATTATATGTGACTAGTCTTCAGAATAAAGCTGTTGTTATTACTGATAGTAGTCAGTTGACTGGACCTACAGTGTGATACTGAAGCTACGAGGCACGAAACCTTACCCTGCACTGTAAATAGATGTTAGACCTAAAAGAAAGCAAATCGACAAGGAGGCCTAACGACTGTTACCATACGGTAAAGGAAATATTTCAGAAAATCAAACGGAAAGCATAATTTTCACGTGGTTATACCCTGTTTTCTTCAGTTTCGTAGCTAGCGACTTCACTACTTGGCTTTAGACGTTTAAAATAATGGGATATCAGCAGAAATGCCAAACACCGCTGATTGTCACTCAAAATAAGTGCCTAACTATTCTTATTAATTGATTGAAAGTGTCTAGCAATAGAATCCAGGATGCGTGTTACATTCTATTTGAGATTCATCGTCTGGCTGTACCTGTATCTGCAGTGAATGATTGGTGATGTTCTCACTGCGACTGGAACCCACTAGGTACTACCAGATGACAAGTTCCGAACAGGGTAAATTGAGCTAGACAACATCGACCTAATAACATCATGTTAATCCGAAGACTTCTTCGAAGCGTTCACACGAGAAGCCAATGTGTCAACAGAGACTGAATATTTCAGTTCAATATAACCAGTCACCGACGCACACCAGTGGCACGCTCGCTGACCATGCACAGGGTCCGGGGTTGGATCCCCGGCCACCGGCATACTGCTTTACCTCGCTAAGCCAGAATAAAAATGGTAAAGAGGAAAGGTTGGACATGAGGTTGGCAACCCCATCCTGTAAAAATAAACACTGCTACAAAAACTTCAAGCCTGTAACTTGAAGCCCTATGTTCCACTGGGAATGTGAAGGAGAAAGAAATAACCAGTCAATGGGATATACACATTGTCTTTTATGTTTATAAAAAGCAATCCAACCAGTGAAATAATTTTCAAACCAAGTGTTTACTATATAGCTACGGTAATCTATTTACTTACTCTGAAAGCTAAAAGTTTCCTAAATCTAGACCTCTGTTAGATAAAAATGTAGGTTATTTTCATGTCAATACATCTTCAGATGATTTTAGATAGCTAGAAAATATTGCTTTGGGATTAGATAGTTTTATTGTTTTGCAATAGATTCCATATTTATTGTTTACTTTTGTTCAAGTCTTTTGTAGAACTCTTTCTTAAAAAACAGCATGATTAAACAAACAAATATTCTGACAGACGTCGTCGATAAGGAAAAAGAAACCCAAATGAACCCATTAAGTATTGCTTGATTGTAAGTGGTGTTGTTAGTAAAGAACTGGCAGAGGTTGGAAGTTACGGACGACTTCACTTCTATAAAACATAAAATAATTGAGCAAAGAATATCCTTTTCGATAATTTCCTCTTCTGGCTCTACAATTATATATATGTTTACATACATAGAATATTCTAGATTAGTAGTCAATAACAATATTTTTTTAAATAATATCGACTTGTTAAGTAAGATCAATGGAATAACACAGTTCATTAAAGATGCTTAAGTTATAATAATAATAAAGATATAGTAGCAAATAGAATATCAACTGAAATTATGAAAATTCCACAAAAATTGAGGATCATTCAAACCTAGATGGCCAAGGTAAGCACAATGTCTGAACTAGCTTCTTTTGGACGCATAAATTAGGCTTCTTAATGTGGATCCCAACAGCCTCAGCAAACAACACATAGTAGTCGAATCCTTAAGGCAAAATTGAGATTCGTTGGTATGCGGTAAATGACTTCGAAAGCCGCCTCGCTGACATCAATCTTGTGTTCTGTATCCACAAGATGAGATAGAATAGCGCTGCGAATAGATTTTTTGTCCTTTACTTAACCACTATGCAGGGTGATGTTCGGAAATTCGACGAGAAACACGCCTAATTGTACGGCCTATGTAACTGACTGAATAATAGCATGCTCACCTTCACAAACGATGATGTGAAGTTGGATCAGTCAATGACCACTAGGCAGAAACTGCTGAGTGTTCATAGACTAACAGCTTTCTGCCATTGGTTTCCCAGCAGTTATCCCCTGTGATATTTGAATCATTATATCGTAAAATAAGGAGTGGTACGAGTGACATTATTTACTTAAGTGATCACTGAGTATATTTTTTATTTTGACTATTTTATTTTGTTTTATTCCTTTGCAGTCTCAGTGGAACCTAGGACTTCAAGCTTAAGCTCTGAAGCTTCAGTAGCTGAGTGGGATGGCTAGCCTTACGTCCACTTTGCCCTTTCTTTTGGGCTTCTTATCCGCTAAGTGTGGTTTCAGAGTGCGTCAAAGGGGAACCGAACCCTCTACCACGTGCGTGGTTGCCATGCTTTCAGTTGACGTCTGAATGACCAGAGTAGACTATTAACTCTCAAATTAACAATCTGGACGGCCCACTTCCATTCCATCTTCTCTCACAGATTCCAAAAAATGCTCTGTCGTATCTTCACTTTTTCTTTTGTAACCAGAGTAGCATCACCAGTCAGTCTCAAACACATTTTCGTCATACAATGTCTATATGCCTACTCTTACTTTTATCGAAAAAAATACGTCAGCCGAGTGCCTGCCCAAAAACTTACACCCACTAGAGTTAGTCGTCCTGGAATCGAGTGGCCTTACTGATTCTAGAAGTGATAAGTTTAAAGTTTAACCAGACTCTGAGGTTTCCCTATCTATGGTAGTGTTTTTACAGTGGTAGAGTTACTAAGGCCACGCCCAACGTTTCCTCTCTCTTCAGGACTTAGGAGTGGCTGGTGAAATAGGTGACGTTGAATAATGGTATTAACAATTTAAAAGCTTAAATCTGTAAGATAACTTTTTCCTAACACTTGATTTATGTTATTTAGCAGCAGAATTATGAAATATATATTTTCTATTTTTGGTTTGTAAGGGTTAGTTTTGTTTTCACGCGTTGATCATGGATTGATATCAGTTAGAGAAGCATTGAAAACCAGAGAGTACTGGAAAGCTGTTTCATCCTATTTGGGAATCATCGGCAGTACGCGCCC